CACAGTCCTACACATCACACAATACAGGGCAATGAACAGCCCGAGCTGAGCCCCACCACATCAGACAGAGATATTCCCTGTGCACTCAAATACATCATAGAAACACAGCCTTCAGCTGAGCACATTTGTTTGGTTTTCTCTTCCATTCCAGATAACAGCAACAGGGCCGGACAGGAAGGATGGAATAAGTGTTTCCTAGCAGTGAAATAATGTATTTTTTTAAGTCACAATGAGTCAAACATTATCTTTCACTCAACCCAGCAGCTATAATTTGAAGAAGAGAGAGTGCCTTGACTTGCAACATCCTTGTCTTAATACTCATTTTGAAATCAAACCCTAATTAATCCATTTTCCACCTTTCCACGTTTGAAATACTCCACAAAACTCAAATAACTGGGGGGGTGTGGGGGTGGGAGAACAGAAATATAAAAGACCCAAATGAACAACAAACCCAAAGCCAAGACCCCCTCATTGTTCTCACCCAATACCAGCCAAATCCACAGATACCTAGTATCAATATACAACTACACCCACTGTTTCAGGATCGGAAAACTAAGATCAGGGTGATAAAAAGACATGCACACTGCGGTCACCACCCATTAGAACAGCAGGCTGGTTTTAGGAGTTGTTATGGGAAGTATTTCCACTTCAAATTCAATTGATAGGCTTCAGGTCTAAACAGAGGTGAAGGATGTTCTGAGTTCATACTCGGAATCAAAGCAATCAGCATACTTATAGTACAACTACAACCAGGGCTTGGAATGAGATGTTTCACGCCTGCCCTTGGTGTGCAACGTCCAAGAAAGGGAGACTCTCACCAGATGCTGGGTGGGTTAAGGCCACTTGGGCACGTGAAAGCTCGCTGCCCATCCTGGTGCTGGCACACGCAGGCATTTTGTACGTTCAGAGAAAATACAGGTAGGCCAGGAATGCTGTCAGTCACATAAAGGTCTTGAGTGTCAGCACTTGAGCACCAGCACTTGAGCACCACCACACTCATTCCCTAACCTACTTTCTCCCTTCCTTTTTGAAGCTAACAAAATGACATGTTCTGTTTAGGTTTTCCCTTTCTTGTCATCATTACGCTTCTATCCTGGCCTAAGCTTGTCCTGCGAATTCAAGAACTGCCTCAGCCTCCCACTACGGAGGAGCTACATGCAATCAGTGGTATGAAGACAGAAGGAAACGTTTTCAGAAGCACCTACCTGACTTCAGCTCTCGTATTCCAATTTCAAAGGAAACTGGAACAAACGAGTCATTTTCAGCCAAGCAGAAGTGTCAGAACTTGTATGGCCAAGTCTGATGGGCACGTTGGAAATCTTTACCCTAGAGACTTAAACACCCTAAAGGTTTAAATACCGTGGATTGTAAACGTCACCTAAACTGACACAGAGCGAGACACAGTTTTCAAGTGTGGGTACTCAGGCGTTTCTCAGCATGTGTGACTGCACTCAGCTAAACATGCAGCAGTCCCGAGACAACGACAGAAAGTGAACTGCAAGGATCTCCATCTGCCTCCAACCAGCAGAAACAAAGCTCCCTTGCTGCACTGGCAATGAAGGGAAGGTTCTCCACCCCACACAGGGATCATTCCTGAGCCCCAGGCTGTCCCCTAAGGAGTTTTCCATGGGTCTGTTCGAGGCATTTCCCTGCCCATGTCAGCACAACCCACACACAACCCCAGGGAGGATGAGCTCTATGGGCCCCAATGTCAGCTGCTCACACCCCACTCCCAGGGGGAAAACCAAACGCTGTTGGAAAACCAAACAGCACTAAACCGTTCTCTCACTGGAGAGAAAGAAGAGGATACAGCAGACAGGAAAAAAAGGACAGCATATTAAAGTCATTAAAATCCTATGCAGTAACAGCAGTGAAGTGCCAGCCAGATTGGTTTTGGGGCCGCTACTGTGGTCAGCTCCTAGAAAGGTAAATGTGAGGTTTTAAATGTGAAAGTTCATCAGTGCAGACAGAGGAAACACAGAGAGCAAGGAACGCGTGGAGAGGGAGAAACAGAGAGAGGCTGGTGTCTCAGAGTGGGTTGGGCTGGAGAGAACCTTTAAATTTCATCCAGTCCAACACCCTGCCATAGACAGGGGCATCAGAGGAGGTGAAAAAAGAGCGACCCACCCACAGGTAACCCAAACTCCATCTTCTGCTGTTAGCAAGAGTATGCAGCGACAAAAAACAGGAAATGTTTATGCAGCAAGAATGCTTAAGTAAACAGAAATGTACCCAAAAAAATCACAGCATCCATATTCATGAGCTGCACGTGCTCATAAAACTTTGAGGAATATTTGTGGATCTAATACTGCATTAACATTTTTAACGAAGCAGCAAAAGTACTCAAGGAACGGAGCAGCGCGTCACAGCACCTCTCCACTGTACACATGTTTATTCATGAGCTCCCAGGTCAGCACTGCAGCAGGTTATTAGTGGATGTGGATGGCTGGCAGGAGCCAACCAGCCTGTTATCAGAACTTGCTTCTGGCAGTCAGAGGGGGAAGAGAGCCATTTTCTCCTCTTTGCAGAAGCGTAGCCAGGTCAGCACCACTAGGATCTAGGAAAGGCTATGCCACCCAGGCAAACTGCCCACCAAAGCTATTTTAAGTCATTCTTCTCTAAAACACTGGTCTCCAAGACAGAGCATCTGCACGTACAGCACATGCCGGCCAAGTAAACAGAGCCTGTACAGAGCATCGAAGTGCAAAGCGTGCTGCTGCCACACAGTAATGTTCAGGCTGCTTTAAACACGTCAGAGAAAGATCCATCACAGAGCCAAGGCGTGAGGTTTGCTGGGGGGGGGGGGGGGTGAGGGGGAGTGGGACACAGCCCTGGAGGAGCCAGGCAGCTTCTGCAGCAGCATCCCTATCGCCAGAGCCTCCAGCCTCATCCAGTCCCGAGCTGCGAACAGGGACAAACCCCAGAGGAATGCTGGCCGCAGTGGATCAATCGCTGGAGCAAGGGAAGGTGGGACTGCGTTAGTGAGGGACACTCTGACCTCACTATCCTGTCCTCTTGGGACACATTGTGAAAATGCATACCCTTACCCTACCTTGAGGTCCAGCAAACCTTGACTAAAGGTGGGGTGTTTAATTAAAGTATGTATCTCCAACTGAAATTTGAAATCAGAAATGAAAAATGGATTAAAGGAACTGAAAATGGTTTCCCAGCGCAGCTCAGGTGAAGTCTATCAAAGCAGGAGTTCTTGTTCATTACTGAAATCACATCAGGTCACAGCACGGAAACTTATTCCTCAGCTGAAGAGGAAGGGCCCCACCAACAGAAACAGCGGCTGACAGCTCCAACACATAACTCAAAAGCAAAGTCACAAACCGAGCTAACACCATCTTTACTGCGCCTGAACAGCACCAGTACTGCTCCAGAAACTGACCCGGCTGCCACCAGCCCTGACACCACGAGCACCAGCCCAGAGGGGAAAGTGCAGACGCTCAGAGCAGCCCCTGCACTCGCCAGCCGGCAGCGAAGCACACCCGAACAAGCCCCATTTTGCTACAGAAAGCTACATTTTATGCTATAGAAAACTACATTTTGCATGGCAAGGGAGTCACTCGCTAGAGCAGAAGCGTTCCCCTCTCTGGTCACGCTGAACGCCCAACAACAAACACGCTCCAGGAATGCCAGCGAGTCACCAACACCAGCTAGCAGCAGCCAGGAAGCTGTCTAATCTGACAGCTCCGGATTTCGTCAGTGACAGGGCTCGAAAGTGGCTGCTTTGGGCACTCTCAGAGGGAGGAGGAGGCAGGAGAGCAGTCTGAACAGCAGCCACCGACACAGCGGGCTCTGCTCAGAGAGGGAATCGCCTTTAGGCTTGAGCGACGGTAACGGGAGCACACGGCAGTGATAAAGGGGAGTGAGCACACAGCAGTGATGAGCTGACCAAGTCCTACCACTTCCGCCCGCTGCTTTACTCTCAGGCACTGGACAAGCCCACCACCATTACCAGGAAAATTATTACAAGCATTTGCGCAGCGTTTATTTCATACAAGCAGACACTTCATGTGTACAAGCACTGTGGTGATCATCTGTCAGAGTTTACCAAACTTGGTGAAACGACAAACTGCATCCCCTGAGTGCACACACATCAGTCACAGCGTGTGCTTCAGGCCAGCCTCCAGCAGCCACAGCAAACCCCGAGCAGGAGAACAGCACGTTTGCTGTAGGGTGCCTGGAGATGCGCAACCAGGGCTGGCGCCCGGAGCCAGCCGGTCCCGACACACAGGGCAGCAGCTCCCCGCTGGACGTGCGAACCCCGGGAAAACCTCCCTGCTCGCTCGGTTCCAGAGAGCTCCGCGGCGCCAGCCCTCACCCGCGCACAGCCGCGGGGCTTTCGGAGCCCGGCCGCTGCTCCAGGTGTCCGTACGGATCTGTCCTAACTCACACACGCACAAGCGCTCTCCCTTCGCCAGCACCAACTGTTGCACCCGCCGTGCTTACGGCGACCAGAAACATTCCACACGTTTCTCCCACCATCCTACTGCACTAAGCAGAAATTACACCGGGTTTTCACCCCACAACGCACCGAGCACCGCGGGGCAGAGCCCAGCCCGGCCGCAGCGTTACCGGCGGCGGCGAGAGCAGAGCCCTCAGCAGGACCGGGTCCTCCTGCACCGAGCGCCTCGAGAGGAGCAGCCGCGAGGGGCCCGGGCCACGGCACGACCGAAACCGTGCAGTGATACGGAAAGGCTCTGTCGCGACACAAGGCGCTCCCGGAGGATCTCACCGCCGGCCGCGTACCCGGCGCCTCGCTCGGGGCTCCAGAAGCGGCGCAGCCATCCCCACCCCGGCAAACACCGCCCGGCTGCCGGGACACCCCTCCCACAGCAGCACCTGAGGCCGGCCGGGACCGGAGCGGGCGGGACGGGGCGGCAGCGAGCGCCAGGACCGTCGCTGCCCGCAGAGACCCCAGTTACCACCACCGCCCCCCCCCCCCCCCCCGGTCCCGGTTACCCCCGCGGGGCGCGCGCGGCCGCGGTACTTACGTCGTCGAAGAGGGACCCGACGTTGGCGGTCACCAGGAGCACCCCGGCGCCGGCCGCGGGCCCCTTCCCCGCCATGGCGCCGGCGGCGGGCGGGCGGGCGGAAGCGCTGCGGGGAGCGCGGGGGGCGGGCGCGGGGCGCTGCGGCGAGCGGGGCGCCGGGCCTGGCCCGCCCCGTCAGCGCGACTGCTCCCGGCGCGGGCAGCCCGCGGACATCCGCGCCGCGGCGGGCCGGCCGCCCTGCGGCTGCTGCGGGGCCGCGGCGCTCAGCGCTCACCCGCCGCCGCCGTCGCGCTGCTGCCGGGACGGCTCCCGCCGGCGGAGGCTGGCGCCGGGCCGCGGCGCATGGCAGGTCGGCGGGGCGGGACGGGGCCGGGCTCGGCGCTCCCGGGAGGGGCCGGGCTCGGCGGGGCGGGCACCGGGCACCGCGCGGATGCTGCTGCCGCTCCCGGCGCTGGCGGCGGGCGGGCCGGGGCTCTGCGCCCGCGACGTCACAGCGGCCCCGCGCGGCTCTTAAAGGGGCAACGCCGCGCGCGGGGAGCCCCGCGGGAGGCCGCCGGAGAGGCACGGGCGGGGCGGGGCCGCGGGAGCCGGACGCGCTGCCCTCCGCCGGCCCTGCCCGCTGAGACCCGCACCGGCAGCGCACGCGGAGCGGAGCCCGCCCGCGGTCGGTGCCGGGCTCTGCGCCTCGGAGGCACCGGGCAGCGCCGTGAGCCGCGTGTCCACAGCGCGACCCCGAGTGAGCTTGGGAGAGCCACTGACCCCGAGCGGCAAACTCGGGCTTGGGGTGCTGGGTGAGGAGAAGCTCCCCGTGACCCGGCTTCAGTGAGCGCTTGAGCCCAGAACCCCCCCGTGTGCTGGGTGCACCCCCAGAGCGTGAGCAGCAGCTCAGGGAGGGGATCCTGCCCCTCTGCTGCATGAAGGGGAGACCCCCCCTGCAGCCCTGATCCAGCTCTGGGGCACAGCACAAAAGGGACGTGGAGCTGTTGGAGCGAGGCCAGAGGAGGCCATGGAGATGCTGCGAGGGCTGGAGCAGCTCTGCTCTGGAGCCAGGCTGAGAGAGCTGGGCTGGGGCAGCCTGGAGAAGAGAAGGCTCCTGAAGGGGAGACCTGAGAGCAGCTCCAGTGCCTGAAGGGGCTGCAGGAAAGCTGGAGAGGGGCTTGGGACAAGGGCCTGTAGGGACAGGACACAGAGGAACGGCTTTAACCTGCCCGAGGGGAGACTGAGATGAGCTCTTAGGCAGAAGCTCTTCCCTGTGAGGGTGCTGAGGCGCTGGCACAGGGTGCCCAGAGAAGCTGTGGCTGCCCCATCCCTGGCAGTGTTCAAGGCCAGGTTGGACACAGGGGCTTGGAGCAAGCTGCTCTGGTGGAAGGGGTCCCTGCCTGTGGCAGGGGTTGGAGCTGGAGGAGCTTTAAGGTCCCTTCCAACACAAACCAGGCTGGGGTTCTGTGATTTGATGATAGAGGAAATCCAAAATTATTCTCAGCATTCAATAGCAAAAAAACCCCACCTGCCAAGTGCTTCTGACCCAGGGAAGCATGGACTTACCATCTTATGGTGCTGCTCACCACACTGTAGCAGTGCATTACATCTGCAGATAGACGTGGGTCAATGAGCAGGTCAGCACCTGCAGAAGACAGCCACGTCCAGTGGTGCTGAACTTGGTGAGCCCATCCCGTGCAGTCTCCTCTTTGTGGCACATTTGCTGGTGCAGGAGTGCAAGGGGAGCGACAGAAGCTCTGCTCAGTCATGAGCGCTGCTCTTCTGCATTAGAAGGAACAAATTAAATATACAATTAAATAAAACCCATGTTGAAACTGTGGAATTCTGCCTTCTGTGCGGGATACATGCTGAGCTCCGGTGGGCTGTGGCACACAGGCAGGTGCAGTGTGGGATGTGCTCATGCCCAGAGGCACTTTACGCTGCTGGACTCCTCTGGACAATTTCTTCTAAGGCTTTATGCAACTCCCAATACAGTGGTTGCACCAAGTTGCACTGTAGGCACTGTGATCCTACCAGGACGCAGCCTTCGGAGGTATCGGAAATGAGCTGGACACAGACACCGTCCTGATATATCCCGACATGTTCACACACAAAGGAAAACGAAGGCCAGGGGGAGCGTTTGGTGCTCTGTTTTTGGCACAGTCTCACAAACTGCAGCCCCCCAGTGATTACATGGAAGTCAGGGTGTGCTGGAGGAACCTGTGTCACATCACACGTGCCTGGCAGGGGATCCCAAGCCATGTGGCATCCAGATGGAAACTTTGGCAGTGTGCAGGAGCAGGAAACTACAATAAGAAGTGGCTGCAGACCACAAGTTACTTGTAAAGAACCTGGGTGACAATCGCCACACTGCAACCCAGAGGTGCTCAGCCAGTTTCTTTGGCAAACGAAGTACTACAGCATGAACATGTCACAACCACGCTAAGTAAATCGATGTCTGACCGATGGCTGAGCTGCTGCATGTGAATCTTGTGCCTTCTTGAGAGGAGTGGATCAAACATGAGAACACAGGAACGTGAAAGACAGCGTCGTCTATAAAGTGTTCCAAAAGGATTCCTGGGAGCTGACTCGCCCAGCAGTGTAGTCTGAGTATTTTCAGTCTTGGCCCCTGCCTTGAATGTTAACTTTGAGAAAAGGGCTCAAGAATCAGGTTGGTTTTCACTAAGTAGCTTTGCGACAAGGAGGGAAAAGATGGTCTTGAGGCTGAATATTAGCAATAAGCCTGAGGGTCAGAGAAGTGCCCAGCATCACCAGCTCCATGAATTTCCATTACACAGTCTGGAAAATAACATCGCTACTTGCATAGATGCCACAGAAAAGTGGTCCTTTGTGTTCGGGCTACTCCTTTTTTGACCAGTATTTTCAGAGCTTTTCTCACTGAAATAAAGCGCAAGTGAGGTAACGGAGTTGTGTGGCATTATTCACTGGCAGGTTCATAGGAAATGTGGTTGAAATTGGCCCAGAGGAGGGCTGTGCAATATCCCAGAACTCCTGATGCACCTCCTGAAGGGTGCAGACCAACATAGGCACCGTGTGCAGTCAGAGGGGACCCAGGCAGGCTCTTGGCACGGCTGCTGGTGGGAAGGCAGCAAATGGGGAGCAGGGCTGGGCACGCACCAAGAGTCCCAGTGATCCTCCCCCCATAGCTTCCCAGAGCCGATGGCTGGGCCTGCTTTCGAGGTGGGGCTGGAGATGGACGTTGCCTGTCGTGGAGTTTGCTACCAGGGAAAGTTTGGAAGCAAATTCATCTCTTTCAGTTGAAAAGCAGTGTGAACCCTCCCCAGGCAGCAGAGCTGAGGATTAACAGCAAACAGATTTCCAGTCAGCTTTTAGACAACAAGCACCACATTTGGTGTTTTTCTGCTCTGGTCCCGTCCTGCAGCCCCCAGCATGGGTCTGTGAAGCCACCATGCCGCCAGCACCATGAACGCTCCCTTTTCCACCCTGCGCTTCCCAGGGCTTGGCCTCACCAGGTCATCCTCTGCCTCATCCCGTAGGCTCAGCTGTGGCTCCTGCTACTGCAGGACAGCCCATGCTGTGCCCATGCTGCTGCAGCCCAGCCCTTTGCCATGCAGGGACATGGACTTGCTGGGCTGTGCTCATCGGTCTGGGTCAGACTCAGTTTTGGCTGGGTGCTTGGAGCTCTGGCAGCAGGACATGGGCACATTCAACCTGAACAGTAATGCAGTGCTTACCTAAATCATTCACAACTGTGATTTCCTCAGAATCACAGAATGGTTTGGGTTGAAGGGACCTTAAAGTTCATCCAGCTCCAACCCCTGCCACGGGCAGGGACCCCTTCCACTAGAGCAGCTTGCTCCAAGCCCCTGTGTCCAACCTGGCCTTGAACACTGCCAGGGATGGGGCAGCCACAGCTTCTCTGGGCACCCTGCGCCAGCGCCTCAGCACCCTCACAGGGAAGAGCTTTTGCCTTATCTCCAACCTGAACTTCCCCTGTTTCAGTCTGAACCCGTTACCTCTCGCCCTATTGCTACAGTCCCTAATGAAGAGTCCCGCTCCAGCATCTTTGTAGGCCCCCTTTGAAAGGATTTGTAAGGTATCAATTGCACCATGCTTGGAGAAGAGAAGGCTGGGGTTAGAAAATTGCTAAATCTCCATCCTGAGCAAGGTAATACATAAGTGGTGCAGGGAATTCATGTTTTTAAAGCAGATGTTGCCATTTATTTGGTACCATGTAGCTGTGTCCATAAGGTGGGAGATCTTGTTCCCTGCACATACTCCCAGGACACAAAAAGTTTCCTTTGGATGCAGTAGTGAGGGGCCAGAACAGGGAGAAAGGGGTTCCCTGGCTGTGGGCAGGAGGCACTCACACACCCATTGTGCAAGTCCTCTCTAATCACATCTGGCTCACTTTCATCACTGCCCTTACAGCTTCATTAACTGGCTCATGCTTTCGTTGGAAGGGTCTTTACGAAGAGGTTTTTATGCTGGCAGGTGAAACAGCAAAAACCCCAAATGCTACCAGATTAAAACCCTTAAATGCAATGGAGCATTTTTCTGCCTGAAAGCTCTTCTATAACCCTGAGGGATGGGCTCTGCTCTTCTGAGATGGATCCTAGTGGGCTTTGTGAGCTCATGCCAGCACGTGACTAAATGGACCACTTTGTACTTTCCAGGCTGCACAGCACAGCTCACAGGAAATGGTCTCGGGGTTTTTCTAGTCCACACTTTGAAGGGAGGAAGGGTCACATGAGTGGCTGCTCCCTAAATTCATTTTGTTCCTGCAACCACTGGACCCAGATGTGGAAAGCCCAACTCTGGTGTGTCTGATCAGCCTCCGGCTGCTCCTCTCAGACCACAGAACTACGGAATGGTTTGCGTTGGAGGGACCTTAAAGCTCCTCCAGCTCCAACCCCTGCCACTGGCCGGGACACCTTCCACTAGAGCAGCTTGCTCTGAGCCCTGTCCAGCCTGGCCTTCAGTGCTGCCAGGGATGGGGCACCTTACCTTCACTCCTATTGCTCCATTTTGTGCTGCTTTACAGCCTGAAAGTTGGACTCTCAGGAAAGACCCCCCAAGATTCAAAAACCAAATTTCAGAATTCCAAAGTTATTCACAAATGTTCTAGAGATTATTTGAGGTGTTAAATGCATACC